ATGCCGAAGGCTGCCTTCGTCAGGGGAAGAGCTGTGGTTTGTGCCAGTTCCAGGGCAGGTTGGTTGTGGTCGTAAGCTGTGCCCCAAAGAAAGCGTATGAAGCAAAGTTTAAATTTAGAGAGCCCAGATGGCTCCAGATGTGGGAGGCCCACATACACAAGTCCCATACTGGTATACTCCTGTTGCAGTCACTCCTGATGTCCAGGGAGGAGAGCTAAGCTTCAAACTTTTAGGGATGGCTCTAAGAGTATAAAAAAGCAGCAGTGCAGCCTGGACATTTTTCCCCTCACCTCAAACATGAGGCTTTTACATTGTGCTTCACAGAAAAAAAGAAAATAAATCTTTCCAGCGTGACGTTGACAGTCTGAAGACTTCACTTCTTCCCTACTCTCTTCCTCTTTAACGCCTCCCCAGAGCAGCTGTCTGTCCCCCGGCCTCTCCTGACCGCAGCCAGCATCTCTTGGGTACCACTTCCTTGTGGCATCCCACATCGACTTCCTTCTGTTCTGGGGTGCCTTTTGCTGGTTGCTTCCCATTCAGCTGAGCGAGCCCAGCTCCACCCTCCCAAGCACCCAGCACCCTGGCTCAAGGAGGGGCACCCACACAGGATGAGACCCTTTGCCCTGCATGCCTAGTTTATCTGTAAGCGGCTGCATGGCCCGAGACTGCGTTTTAAAGCAGCCACCTCCATGGTGTCATGCTGAGCAGCAAGGTACCAGTGACAGCTCATGCTGGCATTTGCTCAGTGAAGAATGTGGAAGGCAAAAATGCCTTTTTTTAGGGAAATGATGTCCCAGGACAGCGAAGGCTGCAGGGGCGAGGTAGGGCATGTCTTCGTGGCGTTTGCCAGACAGTGGCCCTTTGGGGATACCAATCGGTGGTGCAGCATATGGGAACTGGAATCCAGCCAGACACCTGCACTGCTTTTTCCTTTTCTTTTTTCCCCTTCCCTCTTGCGAAAAATAAAGCCTGCGTGAGGTCTAGCCTGTCTCCCCCCTCCTTCCCTCTCCCCTGCAAGTTCCGTGGCTCAGCCAGCGCTGCCACCGGCCAGCACAGGCTGCTTGGGAGAAGTTAGCAATAGCCAGTTCCCAGCAGGCAGGGTTCCTGCCTGAGATTTTGCATTAGTCAGAGCATTGTTTCTCCTGCTGCAGCACAGGCCTTTTCTGGGAAGGTTTTGTCTTTGCCAGGAGAGGCACGAGTTTAGTGTGAGAGGAAAAAAAATTATTGCCTTCGCTCAGCAGCACAGTAGTAAGCATTTCCTCATTTTTCTACATCTCCGTGTGGAAAGACTCATCTGTGTCTTTCAGAGAGAAGCAGTATCCTTTTGGAAAGGGCAAGGGGGAGGGAAGAAGTCAGGTTCCCGTGTAATAGATAATGTTTTACGAGTGCTGCTGGCCATCGGTGGTCTCCTGATGATCCAGGACACGGGTGCTGGTACTGGGAGAAGCTGGGCAGAGCTGATTACTCAGAGGAGAAAGGGTGGGCAGGAGCTGAGCAGATGGTAAAAGGATGGGGAGGAGGAGGGCAGTTGACAAGGACTAGTTGTGGGAAAGGGGGGTAATTCCCAGCGCTGGGAAGGGAGACTGGTGCTGGTTTTAGTCACCTGGTATGGGAACGCCTTGTCTTCCTCTCCGGCAGGCATCACTCAGAGATGCACTGCTATCAAGTACCACTTTTCCCAGCCAGTACGCTTGCGCAACTTCCCCTTCAACCTGCAAAGATGATCCACCAGGACGAATGGCATCTGCTCCCATATTTGTTCAGCATGGCCCACTCGTCCCTGGCGAGGCCCATAGCTCGTGCTCTCCCTTTCATGTGAAAAATGCAGCAATAAGACACCAGTTTGCAGAGGAGGGGGCTGAGGAGGCAGGATCCCACCAGGACCCAGCCATCAGCAATTTTCACCCTCATTTTTACTTGCAGGCCACTACACTTTGTCCAGGAAAGTGTGAACACCACACACAAGGGTTTTTGAGCTTGTTGAATGTACCCTGCTCTTAGCTACCTTTCACAGGCAGATCACCTCTCCCCTCGTCTCTCCAGGGGTCTGCAGGCACCAGCTTGAAAAGCTGCGTTCTGGTGTCGCTGGAAAAGGTCCAGCAGGAGACGTGTCAGAAGCTGACGACAGAAGCCACGTGCTAAACAATTATGGCAGAACCCGTCTGCATGGAAACTCCCCGGCATTTAGAAACCGGAGTGTTTCTGTCCATCCAAGTTACGTTAAATTTAAACTCCAGAAGGAAATAATAGAGAACAGAGAGTGTATCACAGTGTGTCTGCGTAAATCCTTGCTGTACCCACATCCTGAAAGTCATATGGCTGAAGCTATATGATTATATAGTTTATATGATAGTGGGAAATTTATAGCACAACTACAAAACCACTGGTTTGTAGCAGCTTTGCTACAGGATAACTTTCTACTTGCAGGTACTCACTCATAGGTCTGGGATTACTCCTACTGTGGGTCTGCCTGGCATGGGCCAGCTATTTCTAGGTGTCCCTCCACTTTCTCCTGCAGCGGAAGGCTTGTCCATGGTAACACCCACTCTTTATTTCTTGGGTTTGGTGGAAACAAACTTGAGAAAGATCACGGCCGGATTCCTGGGCATGGCTGCCGCTGTTCTTCTCTGTGGATGCATCGTGGCAGCAGTCAGCTTTTTTTGGGAGGAAAGCCTCACCCAGCATGTTGCAGGTCTGCTGTTCCTGACGACAGGTAACGCGTCATTCTAGCATGCTAATTACGGATGAAGGCTTCACCAGGTTTCCCTTGGGTAGGCAGTGTGCGCTGCCAGTGAGTAGAGCACACCTTTCCTTCTGATCTCCAGTTACTGTGCCTTGCATGAAGCGAGTCGCTTACTCATAGAAGTGGAATAACCAATAATTAGAAACAAAAAACCTGTGAAAAATGCTCTAGGTCTCATGCAGCAGCAGGAAAGGACCACGGGGCTAAAACAACCACTCCCTCCTCTTTACGTACGAAGCGCTCTCTCTCTTTTCCAGAACAGAATGGTCCCTTGCTGCAGTTTGCAGTCCTTGATGGTAGACTAAATATTTCTTTTAACACTGAAGTAGGAAAGGGGAATACTTTAAAAAAAAAAAAAAAAGGTTTATTCATAAAATTAGAGGTTGTTTAGAGTGGGAGGAAAGGTAAAATCCATGAACACGAAGCCAGCATGAGTTTGAACCATCCAAACTCACGAGGGTAAGCACAACACCTTCTCTTGTGCCGGGAGGAAATATTTTGATTTGAGCAGCTGTAACACACAGCAGAGCTATAATTTTTTAATACAGTTGGAAAGCACAGGCCTGAGGAAAGCCTCATTGTGCATGGCTAATTTAGCTGCTTAATGAAAAACATAGCCTGATGAAAAATGCTTAAGGAAACCCTAGGCTGGGAGAAGGGCGTCAGCAGAGAGCTGGGGAGCGATTTAGCCTGACCGGTTCCTCTGCAGAGGAATGCGGAGGGCCACCCGTGGAGGTAGATTACCTGGTCTATAACCTCCAGATCAGATTACATGCAGCACAGGCAAAACAGTTTCCCCTGGCTGCTTTGAGGCGTGCAGCAGGCTCTGCTCCCCCAGAAGGGGTTTGGCATCACAATGCCAGCTTGCGCGACGTGATTGCGTCTCGTGGGTCAGATCTGATCACAGATGGAGTCTTTGGCTACCTTGCTCTGTTTGAAGGGCAGGCATGACTGAAGTCACAGAACAGACTCTCTTATTCTTAGAAGTAGCAACCAAGAAGTTTGCTGGAGGCAGTTCACAACTGCAGAGCCAGGGCTTAACCTTGCATAACTGGGTAATACATGAAAACTTTATGAATGCGGGTAATTATCACCTGTGTGCTACCCAAGATAACTTATACCAACAAAGTGGGGTGCAAGTTATTTGATTAGTAAGGCCTAACATTTGTTTTGTTATTCATGCTATGCTTCATCTCAAAATAATGCAAGTATTTCATTTACAGGAATATTTTGCACTATATCTCTGTGCACTTATGCAGCCAGCGTATCATATGACCTAAACCACCTCCCCACATACGTCTATAATCTTCCCAATGATGTAGAACATGGATACGGCCACTGTATTTTGTGCTTGCTGCAGTCTGGGATTTACAGTGGCGGCTGGGTGTCTTTTCACAGCTTACCCATTTGTTAGCAGGGGCAACATTATGCAGCTGAAGTCCACCAGAGACAACTCCGTAGGACTGCCCACCCTTCAGTGATGGCTGAACAGTATTTTTCAGGACTTACTCAAAGAAGCAGAAGTGAAGGGAAAACTAAACTCAGGATTCCAAGCACAAAAGTCTGATTCTTCAAAATCTGACCATCACGTTTTACTGGTTCAGCAAGCTGTTCTCCCATGCTGCCCAGCAGAGAGATTTGAAAAGGAGACAGCTCTCAGAGGACAGAGATGGCTCAGGATCAGATGCTTCAGTTCAGCATGCCAAGTCCATGCAGAGGAAGATACTCGCACTGGAAGGTAAAAGGGTGAGGAAAGTTGCTGTAAGAATTTAGGGACATTTCTATTTCTCAAGGATCTGTACATAAAGAAATTAAGGAAAAGTCACTGTTGCCAAATGAATACCAGTCAGAATTATACCCCCTTCCTCAGGGCATCATTTGTAATGTTTTAATTTAGCACCTTGCATGCTTGGCCCTAAAGGAAGGCTTTGGTGCCCCTCTCCTCCCAAAATGCCCAAACAGATATTTTTCTTTTAAATCAGTGTATACCCGTGTCTCTTTGTGTATCCTTTGTATATGAAGTTCCTGTATAATTTGTAAATAACTAAGATTTCCATTCTGAGCACCCAAGCTGCACTGTGAGAAGGATTAAATTACTCCTGTACATTCCTGGATGGTCTCTGGTTATGAGGCATTTGTCAAGCTACAGTGTCTGTAGTAAAATGCCTGCCTCTGTCAAAAGCATTTGTGTCAACTGCAATTTCATGGCCTGGAAATGGTGTCTCTTGCAAGGCAGAGAAAGCTCATAAACCAGGAGGGTCGTAGCCTGGACAGTGCTTGCACCAAGCATCCCTACGGGGCAGTGCAGCATGCTGGGGTTAGAGCTCCAGAGAACCTCTCCTACTTGGGCCACGAAGCCACCCATGGCAACAGAGGGATGGGGAGATGCTCGAAGGGGAGCGGCTTTGCATTTTCCAGTGCTTAATGGCAGGGACATGAGTTAACAGATGAGAGCACCGTGCTGATCTGTCAGACGGAGAGACATCGGTGCTATGTTGATGCATGTCACAACTCATCCAAAGCTACGATCCTCTGCCATCTCCTAAAATCCAGTGTTGCCCTTGATGCACAGCATCCATACATTCATTGCCAGAGCAGTGTTTCATACCTGCTGGGCACAGACCCCCAGGCTGCCTTGCAGAGGGCCCGGGCTCTGTCAGGAACAGAGCAGACACTGCTGACAGAGCAGAGCGATCAGAAAAGCCAGTTCTGCAGTAAGGGTGGGTGGTACAAGATGAACACAAAAGGGAGTGGTGGGGGGGAAAGGGTCAGATACAGAAAATTGTGAGCATAGGGCTGGGAAGAGAAGGGAGATGTGAGAGAAAGATTTGTTGCAGGGCAAAAGGGTGGGAGAGGAAGGAAGGGGAGGTGAAAACCAAGGGTGGTGGAACAGAAAAGTATTGCCTTAATGCAATAGCCATCAATTAAATGACAGCAGAAAAAGTCAGTGCCAAATTAGGCTAAGAAACACAATCATACAAAGTAGACTAAAACTCAGCTGATCAGTTAATTGATCTGGGAGCAATCAAGATGCCAGGAAGCAATGGCAGGAGAAACCAACAGCAGCACTACGCACAGCTTTGGGGCCTGCATTTCTGTGCTTGGCTTCACTGCGGAGCACAGAGCAGTGTTTCTCTGCAAACCGTTGGGTCCTGTTGGAGTCAGCTCGTACCTGTTTATGTGGTTGTCTTGTCATACACAGATCAAGGCAGAAATACTCTCTCCAGATGGTTTATATGTCTGATATAACACCAAGAAGGTTTAACTTGGTTCCACCTTGGGTGAAGAGCACAAATAGCCATGGGTGACACTAAACTGGGGGGATGGCTACCATAATGAATGGCAGAACCTCTGCCCAGAGGGGCCTTAGTCAGCCTGAGAAGTAGCACCTTGCGGTGTTGAAGGAGGAGATGAGTAGAGCTCTGTGTGTGGGGTGACACAGCCCTGTGCATTCAGCCAGGCTGGGAGATTCAAGCTGGGTGGCAGCCCTGCTGAGAAGGGCTTGGGGTTACAGCAGACAACGGACTGACCATTAGCCAGAAGTATGTTCCCATTGCAGGTAAGACAAACGGGCTACACTAGGAGCCACACGGCTAGCAGAGCCAGAAGAGCAGTTTTTAACCACTCTGTTCAGGGCTGGTGAGGCCTCACCATGATTTGTGTCCAGTGTTAGGTCCTCCAGTAGAGGAGGGATGTGGAAAAAGAGGAGAGGGGTCAGCAGAGGATGCAAAAAATGGTTAGGGGTCCTGGAGCACAGTGCCTGTGAGGGGAGGGAGCCGGGCTTGGGTAGTTTGGTGAAAAGGAGGCAGAGGGGGCATCTACCAGGAGCCTGTGACTGCTTGAAAGGCAGTTAGAGACGTGAGAGAGGCAAACTCCTGCAGCGTCAGACAATGCAGTGAGGGACAACAGCCACAGATTGCAGCTCGGGAGGCTCACACATAAGGAAAGCTTCTCCCCCGGGAGGGTGGTGTCCCCTGGGGCACGTACCCAGAGAGGCAGGGATCTCCATCCTTGGAGGTTTAAGGCTTGGCTAGACAAAGCCCCAGCTGACGTGATCTAGCATTGGCAATAGGCCTGCTCCAACGGGGAGGCTGGAGGCCACCGGAGGCCCCTTCCCACAGGGATGACAACTGTATTGAAAAGACACCTCAGCATTGTATGAAGTTGGGGGGTCTCCACAAGCAGTTTTCAACAACAGTAATTTTTAGTCTCTTGAAGTGCAATTAGCTTTAAAATAAAAGTCTCTTCCCCTACCTAGCCAAAGCACCTTGTCAGAATCAAGAAAAAAAAACAAAAGCAAAAAAAAAAACCCAGACCCCAGACACACTACTAATCATATCTCCATACTAATCACAGCAGAGAAACACAATGCACGAGTCCATCCCAGCTTGCCAAGTTGCAAATGCTTGTCCAAAATAGCATCTGAAAGCAATCTGCAGTAATTCTCTATAAAAATACTTCCCTGTCAGCTCAGCAGCCATGGGAAAGCCTTGAATTAGATCATCCTCCCCCTCCAAATACCTTTTGCATAGACTAGGAGAACTGCTAAGACCTCTCTCTTCTCAGGAGAATTTTTCCATGTGCTTCTTTGCAGGTAGAAGTCACCTTTAATTGTTCATCAATTTGGCAATTTTTTCCATCTTCCACATTGTGCCCTTGGAGTAACATTACCAAGTGAGGAAAAGCATTATTTTTGATGGAAATAAGTCTCTTCACCTTAAAAAGCTAAAGCATACCCATTAGATACATGCAAATGCTGCAAAGAATTAACACAGAAAATAGTTTATTTTCCACTCCAAGAGATCTCAATAGCGACATTTCAAACTCATCAGAAACAAGCTTTAAAGTAATACTGCAAGGCACATGGTAAAGCATACATCCAGCCTTCAAAAAGAGCTGGAGACTTCTTCAGACAAGATGTGCTTCCTAAAAATATTGCTGAAAGTGAAAATCCATTTACATTTAATATTACCACATTCGTTTTTGCAGTTCTGCAAATGAAGTCTTTCTCTCCCAAAGAAACTCCTCCCAATACTGAGAGGCTTTGCCTAAACAAGGATTTGAGAACTCTTGTCTCATTGCAACATATTACAGTAAAAACATTTGAAACACTAGTAGGCACCTTCCACCTCTCCTAAAAACCAAAGAGAGAAAAGCAATGCCTTAGGACATCCAAAGAAAGTGAGGTGAGCTAACAACCGGCACAGGGTTTGTTCGGATCAGCAGAGTTCCATCAGATCACTGCCATGCTGCTTTTCAAGTGTATCAGGATTCAAGTTCACTTAGGCACAGTGCAAGAAAGCTACCGATTGCCAGCAGAAGAGATCTTTCTGTATTTGTTGCATTGAAAGCATCCATCTCTCCAAGACTAACTCCATAGATGCCATCTGGCACCAGAGACCCAAAACGTGTCTGTCTGCTGCTAAGAAAGGATTCTTCAACACCATTCACCGAGGAAGAATTCCCATCAATATTCAGGGCTTTTGCAGTGGTGGTTTCACTTGTGCCATCAGAAATGGCATTAGGAGAGTCATTTTCAGCACACTTGGTGATGCCATCCATGCTCTTATGGAGATCTTGGCTCAGCAGCAATACAATAGTGCCTCCAACATGAATTACTCTGGAAATTGCAGGAAAAATAAAGGTGAGGTGTTCATCCTGCCTGGCATTCTTTCATCTGTGCAGAACCCAACACTGCTGACGCTTCAGATGCCAGCTGCATTTGATAAAACACATAAGCATGTTAAGGGTCATCGTTCAACCCAGCAACCTACATCTCCAAATGGAATTTAAATTCCCTATCTTCACAACCCTTCCTAAATGGGACAACTGGACCCTATCCTGACTCCCAAACATTTCCGACCTCAAGAGTTCTTTCCATCGGGTTAGCAAGGAATATGGAGGCAGTTTTTTCACTCTTGGTATTCTTCCAAGGATCGAGGGCAGTGTCACTTTCAAACCCCGTTTTTGGGTTGCATGAACCTCCCACCAGTCTGCAAGGGAACAGCTTCCCAGGGCAGCAAGAGCTTTTCAGGTTGGTAAGGCAAAATTCTGAAGTTGGCCTTTCCCTTCGGAAACTTTAAAAGGTCTGTCCTTTCCATGTTCCACTGATCCTTAATGACTTTCAAACTCAGGAAACAGAGGAAAATTAACCACTGCAATCCATTTTTCTTAGTACATAAGGAAACATTACACTTGGCCTTGAAAGAGGGGAAAAAAAAAAACCTGTCCTGGCTCTGTTCACAGCAAGTGGATTGAACAGTATTACTGGTGGAGCTCTCATGGTAATGGTCCCTTCCTCCCCTCCACCTTCCCAAGGAAATATTTTGCTTAGGATGGCCCAACAGAGCAAATGAAACCAGAAGACAGGCACAGCCAAAGGGAGGGCTGCTCAGCGCAAGCTGACATAAGATTACCCTGCCATTCTGTGGAGCTGCCTCACCTTCCTCACCATCTTCCCACCACATTCCTGCATTGGGTGAGCGAGATCAGCACCCGTCGAAGACCAATCCTGCAGAAAGGGCTTGTTTTCAGCCAAGAAAAGAAATAAAGGGGCAGATGGTTTGAACTGCCCGTTAGAAGCAGCCCACTATCAGCTTGGCTCAACTCTGCCGCAAAATGGCAGGGTGAGAGATGAAAGGAGGCATCTAAAAGCAGACCAGGTGGTTAGCAGGATATTCCAGTACACGCTAACAGAAAGGAAAATGCATACCACCATTTTCTGGTCTGAGAGCCTTCCTGCCAAGGCAGGCTGATAAAAGCTGGGTTGTGAGCCCAAAAGGAAAGCCTATGATTTTCATACAAGCAGACCTCAACCAAGAAAGGATTATTGCTTTATTTGCCTGACCATGCTTTATCTTTGTCTAGGTCATTCTCTCCTCTTTCTCCTTTCTGTCACCATCATGCCTTGTAAAAAAATATTCGTGAGCATGGCTCAGACAACAAGCTTATTCCTTGTCAGCTTGTGCTGCCATCAGCACTTTCACAGCTTGCAAGACAAGACACAACAGCCTTTAAGGGACAAGTAAAGGACTCAGACTTTCACAGCCTCCACAGGATCAGATTACAGAGCTGGAGAATGTTTGGAATAAAGCAAACCTGAAGCTGGCTGAACGCTTAGAATTGCAAACCATCATGACCTTTACACCAAACCCCAAGCACGTCAAAGGCCACACGTACCTCTTCATTTCCTGGATCATATCTGGAAGGAGCTGCATGTCTTTTGTGATCTTGAACTTCTTCCCAAACGGAATATCCAAAATCACAGTGTTAAAGCTTTCTGAAGGCAGCAGCAATGCAGCAGAATAAAGACAGGCCTTTACATCTGACTATGTGAAAAATGAACAGCAGCCCTCATTCACCTTACAAAACTGCCTGCCAGATCTTTTGCAGGTTATGCACTCAGATTCATAGCTCCTTCTGTACTTATTCTCACAAATGGCACTACAAAGCCACCAACCTGGGAAGAGTCAAATGCCTGAGTGTGGTTTAGCTCATAGATTCCCTGTTACTGGTGATATGCTTGCCCCAATATCACGACTCTCCAAACAGAGGACTGCATGGTTCCAAACTAACTGAGGCTTCTCAACACACAGTACATCTTTACAAGCGAAATGGAAAAGAAGAGCTAAGCCTGCAAGCACTGAGCGCGGATGTCCAGATGCACACGTATGAATGGCAAGGAACCATGTGTTAAATTCCTCTTCATCCCCCTTTTCCCCCCCCAAGAATCTGGTTACAGCCAGAATCACTTGGATTCTGTCGGAGCTAGTGTCTGAACTGTCTCCCTAGAGTTTCTGCATCCTGGGAACAGTCAGTTTTCTTGACCATGAGGCAGCACTGCACCCTTGTGGTGACGAAGGCTGGCCACACCACAGGCTGTGCTGGCCAGAGCGTTGCCAGCATGGGAAAGGGTTCTCCATCCCTCAGGATGCTCAAAACTCGACTGGACAAGGCCCTGAGCAACCTGACCCAGCTCTGGGTTAGCCCCGCTCCGAGCAGATGACAGGACTAAGGACCTCCAGCAGTCTCTTCCCACCTAAACCCTGCTGTGATTCTATGCCAGCCTTTGCAGAACTAGCTGGAGATGGCTCTTGGACCATCCTTGGAGCCACACTTGCAGCACAATAATTTTATCTCTAAATGGAAGGACAAGTTACCTACAGTCCTTCTCAAAACATGCAGAAATAAAAGCTTCTGACCAGTGACAAAGACACCAATTACTTATTCAGTATTAGAAAAGCTTGATATCAAAGTACCTTCCATTATCCTAGAAGCCAAGGCCAATCACAGCTTTTAAGGAAGAAATAAAGCTATATATATTCTTATAAAAATAAATAATATTTCCTACCATTCTTCTAAGAAATAGATATTGCAAGGGAAAAAAAAATGCACACTTCATTACCCATGCACAGGGAAAAACACCCAGCTTTTGTCTGTCATGAATTTCATATAAGACTAATTTAGACTCAGGCTTTGAGGTCCAGAATAAGGTCATAAAATTATTACCTTCTCCCCAGACTAGCTCATGAACTGACGTCAAACAGATTCCCTCTCCAGGAAAAAGGCATCAGCATTTAAAATACTTCTACTGCAAAACATTAACAATTCAATGCTGAGCTTAATGAGTCCCCACTATTACTCATTTGGTACATTTAAGTTACAAGCAACATTTTATCTGGATTGCTGTGCTCCCGTAAAACACAAAAAACTCTCACATGGTATGTACTCTTCGTGGTATTCACACATTTAACTTTAACACAGACAACTCCTGCCCACGTCTGACAATTATTATTTTCATTGTCTTCTGCTGAGTTTATTCTTGCTAAAGTTCCCAGGGGTGGGGAGGGGACAACAAATAATTACCCATTCGCTAGCACTACAGGATCACTACTCAGCTATTTGTTGAGAGTTAGTGCTACTACACATCACCTCAAGAGAACGTACACTACCCGTATAATCCCAGAACCACAAAAAACTTCAAAAATGTCTCACTTGGAAAGCCTACAGACATACCTTTCACAGAAGCCTTAAGAACTCAATCTTATCCATCAAGCCTGCAGTACTAATATTCACATCTGCACCCTCTATAAGTGAATCACTTATATCAGCACCCCCCAGGCTTCGTGTTCAGACAAAAAGAGAAAAGTCATTTAGTTGACAAGCAGATGTGTTTATTTTATAAAATCTGTATGTCTTCCAAGACAAATCTCTTCCTGCGACATCTCGTACCATTACACAGAGCAATATACAGACCCAGAGGACAGAGGAATGGGGGAAGTATGTGCTGTCTTCACCCCTTTCATGCTCTGGTCTGCTCAAGACACTTGTAACTTACAGAAATATTGAGGCTATGTCCTAACAGCAAGACCCCAGCTAGCTACGGACAGCCACGCTGCCTCTAATACTGAGACCGTACTGTCACATTGACACCTCCGAACCCGGGATAAGCCCAGACAGTCTTAAAAGTCCACGGTTGCTTCACACAAACCCTGCAGTATAAATACAGGGCTCCCAGCACCTGCCTGCGCAAGTGTGTAGGATTTTCACATTCCTGTGGAAGAATGCTTGCACTAAAATGCTTTTAACTATCTAGAAAGATCAGGTTGATTCCAGCTTTCCAATAATGAACTTTGGTATAACTGTGGGACGGATTTTTTTCTTGATGCAACTACAAGCCATCTTGCAAAGGTCCTGCCTATCGTGACTGTGATGCTCACAGGGCACTCTTTGGCAGCTTCCAGCAGTATCACTCCTAGCCCACACATGGGATCCAGCACAAAGGCATCCGCCTATAGAAACAAAAGGGTTATTGCATCCCAAGCAAGCCAGACTCCTCTCCTGGGACAAAGCTTGCTCAGGGATGTACAGATCACCTACATATTCCCACTGAATCCAACATAGGTACAAATAATCACTGGTTTACCAGGCCAAACTTGCTTTTAAGAGAATATGGTAAAAACCATGGATAATTTCACTACAGACAATGCATTGCTGCATCCAGCCGTGAAGTGACATTGAGGGAAACAAATTATGAGTGGACTGCAGGTGGATAATGGTACCAAATTAATCAGTGGAAAATATCACACTTGCTTCTGTTTTCCCTTGGGAGAACAACCGCAACCAAGGTTTGAAGCCTGGACAGTGAAAAAAACCCTTGCCATTTAGACATATATCCATCCAAGGAAAAACACCTCTCCTGAGAAGGACCTGGGATGACACCAGACATCTGGTTGAACAGCAGATGACAGCGCACTCTGATCCCAGATAAGGCAAACCCTGGCCGCATGCATTAGAGCATGGGGCATTAAAATCACCCCACTTCTTCAAAGCTTCCAGCTCCAGCTCTAATGAGCAGCAACCCCCACTTCATTTGGGACCCTACATCTTTGCCATGAAGGTTCACTTAAAATGATTTCAGCCTGAGATGCTGTGGCCCATGCAATTGTTGACCGCAGTCCTGCTGTTTTGATATACTGTTTGAGAATGGAAGCCTGTAGACAGAAAAAAAAAAGAGAAAAAAAATCAAGGTAAGATAATGGTACAACCACCCAAAACCACCCATACTCTCTGTTTGACAATGGAAGCCTGTAGACAGGAGAAAAAGAAAAAAATCAATGTAAGATAACAGTACAACCACCCAGAAAAGTTCAGGATGGGGTGGGGTTTTGGTTTTTCTTTTTGGGGGTGGTGGGGGTGGTGTAACACATGCATGTACAGTGCCAGCAGAACACACGCTGGTAAGATGTCTTCAGCACAAAAAAAAGAATTGAAAACAGATCTGGGTGAAGGACACTTCAGAGTTGATTCCTGTCAATTACACCTACAGCTGTAGGAAATACATCAGATACATCCAATGTTAAGTCTATCGCCAGGACCTGGATGGGGGCTTCCCGTCGCTCAGCCCGCCGTGAGCACCCCAAGGGGTGCCCCGAGGGAAGCAGGCAGGGCCCTACCAGTATCCCCAGGACCCGCAAGCGGCGGCGTTTCTTCAGCAGCCGTGGTTGCTCTCCAGAGCCACGTTGCCTCAGCTCACCCCACTCCACCGCTGTGCTGAAGAAGACCTTTCCGCCGCCGGGGGAAACCCGCAACCAGACCCACCCGGGAGGGTGTTTTGGGCGAGCGCTGTCAGCAGCCCCGCAGCCCCTCACAGACGCCCCGCCCCTCGG